TATATATATGTATCGAGACCTATGTTTTCAGGTTTCTGGTCTGCATCAGAGTTCAATTACGCATCCACACCTCCATAAACGAACCGGACCAGCAAACAAACTGCAGGTCAATTAAAGCAGACTAAACAGGACTGGTATGAATACGCCCTAACAGCACAAGAACAACACAGTCCTCAGTTAGTGGTTACATTATGTGGCTACAAACTTTTAAAGAGGCTGATTCTGTGCTATGTAAGGATTTAAAACCAGATTGTAAAACATCTGAAATATTTAACTCTTTTAGGAAAGCTGTTAATGTTGTAAACTATCTTCTCAATCATTGCAGACAGACATAAGTCTGTAATTTGCAAGAACTGCAGGATCTACAGCAGTTTATTTAGCACAAGTTGACAATTGCAAGTTTAAAATTTAGTGGAACCAGACCAGAATACAAACTGCTAATAACAAGAGTAAGAACAGAAGTTCCTACAGTTTGAAAAACCTTTTTAAATAATTGAAGGAGGACAACTGGAGAACCTGCAGATTTTCAAATATTCAGCAATTTCCTGGTAATGTAATGAAGTGTGACTTGGCCGTACCGTCACACCCTGCTTACAGCTGATGAGTTCAAGTTCACGTAGGAAAGAAAAGTCAAGTGTTAACTAGTAACAACAGAAAGAATAAAGGAGTGTCTTTACTATAAGCCTGTAAAGCTGTGAAAGCAAAGACAAGCTGTGACTTATGTTTGAAGAAAGTACTGTTACAGACAGAGCAGAGAAACGGCTCAAAGATGTGATGTTTTTAAACACCTGAGGTAAAAAAGAAAAACTCAAGTTTCTGCTTTTAATTGCAAAAGGCCTACTAACACATATGGACATGTTTATTTTGAAATTTGAATGGTTGTAACATATTAAAAGACATGGTACTTAATTTTGTATGTTTTATTTTCTGGTGTGTTGTGGAAAACATTTGGAATATAATGTATATATAATGTGTTTCATCCCTCATTGGCTTTGTTCGTTTGTCCATACCTCTGAGGGAACAATGTTGTCTGTAGGTTTCTCTGACAGCTTCTAGCTGAGAATATCTCTCCACYAGCACCTCCTTCTGTGACTCCAAACGAGGTTTCATGTCCAGGTTCTGCTCTGCCAGGCTGCGATTTGATGCCAGCGCCATCTCCCTTTCCAGCTGGATGTTTTGAATCTGAAGAAGTGAAAGTGATAATGAAATACTGAATCAAAGTATATTTATTTTTTCCTAAATAAAGCCGTGCTATGGGATGTAGAGAAGGCCATAAAGTATGAAGTGTTCAAAAAAAACTAGATTATATTACTGACTGTTACACATTCCTGGAAAGGTTAACTGTCTCAAAGTTGTTACTGTGACAATTGTTTACTAAAGCCTTACAAAGCTGTCCGGACAAGATTTTTTTCCTAGATCATAAAAAACAGATGTGCTGTAAATTTAATAAAAACACATACAACATTAATWTATCACACATTTACTGACATTGCCGTAACAGTGAGTGCACCGTCTCAACACATTGAATGGCAGCAAATAATAATAATAATAATTAGGGCTGGGCGATATGGCCCAAAACAAATCTCAGATTATTTTCATCACAAATTTGATTTTCAATTTTAATTGATTTTGCTTCTCACTTAAAGGACTGCCTCTGTTTCAGGTGTCGAAACTAATTTGTTGTACTCCARATTTTTGTAGAAAGAGSCTTCAAACAGATTTAGYAGTGAGGTGTTTGTTGCTYCAAGTCTGAGGTTGTGAAACCTAACCAGTTCCAGAAAACAGAGGAAGCAGTGTCTTTTTTGAGAACTAGATCCTCTTTGCTAGCTGCCATATTGTCATGTTCTGTACCAAGTGTCTTGAGGGACAGGTGGGGTGACCTCTTAAATATAGAAGCCCCAAAGAGACCACTGGTGGGAAAATAATCAACATTAAACTACTGCACTTTGCAAGATTTCCTCTTATTGTTCAGTCGTAATACAGAACATTGTTTTCAAGGTTTCACCAAAATAGAAATTTACCATTTGTAATAAGATCCTCTCAGTTTAAACTTCAGCATGAACGGCGATGTCCAATGTGCATTCCTCTAAGAATATTGAGATTTCAGACTGATTTAACAGCAAAACTGAATGCACTCAACACTGACACTTGTCTCCCATAAGAAGCTCAGTGAGTACAGTCCAAACCAAGATCTGTGTTTGGACTAAGCAGGATGTTAATACATGCTCCTATTCTGGAAATTATGATGCTTTACACTAGGGGTGCACCAAAAAAAAACCTTACTTTACTCAAAACCACAATCATGGGTAAGACTGCTGACCTGACTGCTGTCCAGAAGGCCACCATTGACACCCTCAAGCAAGAGGGTAAGACACAGAAAGACATTTCTGAACCAATAGGCTGTTCCCAGAGTGCTGTAACAAGGCACCTCAGTGGGAAGTCTGTGGGAAGGAAAAAGTGTGGCAGAAAACGCTGCACAATGAGAAGAGGTGACTGGATTGTGGAGAAGGGCTGATTCCAGATATTGGGGAAGACTGGAGAGAAGGAAATGCTAAAATGCCTGAAGTCCAGTGTCAAGTACCCACAGTCAGTGATGGTCTGGGGTGCCATGTCAGCTGCTGGTGTTGGTCCACTGTGTTTTATCAAGGCCAGGGTCAATGCAGCTAGCTTTCAGATTTTGGCGCACTTCATGCTTCCATCTGCTGAAAAGCTTTATGGAGATGAATATTTCATTTTTCAGCGTGACCTGGCACCTGCTCACAGTGCCAAAACCACTGGTAAATGGTTTACAGACCATGGTGTTACTGGGCTCAACTGGCCTGCCAACTCTCCTGACCTGAACCCCAGAGAGAATCTGTGGGATATTGTGAAGAGAAAGTTGAGAGACACAAGACCAAACACTCTGGATGAGCTTAAGACCCAAGACTCTGGATGAGCTTAAGACCCAAGACT